CCCCAAAACCCCAAAACCCCAAAACCCCAAAACCCCGAAGAGATCGTCAAGAATTGAAAAAATCTCTGAAATATAATAATGGAAACACTAGAGAGATGTTCAAGGAATGGGGGTTTAAGAGAAAGAGTATATAATAAAGTTATAAAATAACAATAGAGGAGCAAAGATGCTCTTGAGCTAGGTTTATGATTTATCTATTCCAAATCATGAAAGTAATTTATAAATTAACCTCAAGAAGATAATTTCTTCTATTCTTTCCAAGTAATTTTAAAGTATATTTCCTTATGAATCCATAATAAACTAGCTTTATTTCAATAAAGCCAGAAAGAGGAGTTAAATGAGCAACGATTAATTCATGCCATTAAGAGATCTTCCATAAAAGTATTCAGTTTGAGTTAATAGTACAAACTCTTGGCTACAGAGAAACCTCCTTGGCTTAGAGCTTTTGCTTTCTAAGGGCGACTTTTTATGAAATAATCACTAAGGTTTATGAAGCTATTTGCATCAGAATTATACCCCAAAATTCCCTTGAAATACGATGCAAATCTTTGGGAATATCTATAAAAACAAATTTGAATAAAAGCTCCTAGATTTTATAAGAATTAGATTTTATTATCTGACTCATTGGGATATCTAAAAAGAGTTAAAATATGCAAATTTGATCAATATGGTAACCTAAGGAAGCAAACGAGAAATTATGAACTTACAGCTATTGAATTCATTTATAATACTACTGGTGAGATCACTAGTATCCGATTCCTCTTCAGCATAATTCATTTTTATATCAAAAGCATTGATTACGGGAACCCCAATAGTATTTCTCTTAGGACGGTGCACTAAACATCTTGAATGGAGCTTACCTAAGTGTTTGTAGAAGCTACTCTTCCTAGGTGCACACTTCGGCTCTTTGAATGACACTATAGGAGTAGAATTCTTTCGAAATTTTCTGATTGCTCTCTTCCTATACGACAGATTAAGTTCAAACTTTTGAGAATTTAGCAGTTGAAATTCCACTAAATTCTAATATCAGATAAATTCCATGAAATCTTTTATTTTGGTTTGATTTCTTCCTAAGTTTAGTAAAATTTTCCTTAAATAATTCCAAAATTATGATAAGGAAGTTATAAAGCGTGGGCAATCTTTAATAATTCTCATCTTCCTAGCTCATGAAATAATCTGAGCATCATTATTTGTCGTAACAAGATGTAGGATGATAGATGTTATAAAATTAGAATCTAACATTGTGCTATCGAAGAGCTTTAGATTAATGAACAGCAATGACTATCTCCATGACCATGATTTAGCAAATCTCTAGAGATTAGCATTGCTTAGTCTCATGTGTACTTTACCAAGACTAGCTTTTATAATGCTTAACTAATAATTCTTGACAAAATATGTATTATTCATTCCACAGGTTTATAATTTACACTAGATACTGAATTTTGAGCGTTCTTGTATAAATTATCAGAATGTAGTATTTCATAAAGAATTCTTTTCAATAGAATTTTTCATGAATTTTGTTGTTAATTAACAAATTTTGGAGATATTAAAAACTTGGGTTAAACCGTGTTATTCTCACGAAGAAAATATTGATGTTTTAGTACCTCCTTTGCTAGAGAGGCTAGAGAATGTTGTTTTAGTCATACAAGCTTAAACACAAAAGCTAAGAAGGAGTTGAAAAGTCAATATATAAAAAAATTCTTGGTAAATAGTGCTAATGGCTTACTGTTGTGTGGTAGATCTGTAGATAGGCACATACTTGAGAAGGGATTTTCTCTTAGTAGTGTTCTCACTAGCAACCTTACTTGATGATTTTTCTGATCTCAAGGGATCATTGTTACTGCTCTATTAAGTATTAGAGCAAACAAATCAAGTTAATACAGTATAGGTGTATATGAATATATACATGATGTAGCTAAATTGATCAATCGATTTAAGAGTCAAAGAGTATAGTCTATCATATTTGAAAGTAGATTGGGATAAATATTAGCAAACATCTTACATGCTTTAATGATACTTCAGGACTAACTCTTCTATTTTCAAAATTCTCAGTTGTTTTATGCCCAGGAGGTAAATTATTTCGTACTCTGCCCTGTCTTCAGAATACCTCTCTTTGGCATTGGAAGATGAGAAGACTTCCTACTTTGCCTCTTACTCGAACTTTTAGGAGGTGTATTATTTCTTTTAATTCATCAGAAGACTTAAACGTCACAAAAAATTTACTTGAAGATCATTTTCCTTCCATATTTATTATATATTTCAATTTACACAACCCATATTGGGGTTTTGGGGTTTTGGGGTTTTGGGGTTTTGGGG